TCTTAGTCTCTAACTTAACTACACAACAAAATTCATTCTTGCCTGGGGTGTTCGAAAACAATACCAAAAACCAATTAAACGATGTCTCAACATCGACAAGAACAGTAACTAAGCAACCAGTTAAACAACGTTTCAACATCGACAAAAGCAGTGATTAAGCAACTAGGAAACAACGTTTCGGTGCGCCACTCACTCTGAATGTCAGATTTGATCATGTTATCGCGTCTGGTAGCATTATCCTAACTGGCGTCACCCCCCTTCGGTCATGGGAGACTGCGAACACGGGTGAGGACGTCGCTCCATGAGCTAAAGTTAGGCTGTCCTTGAGTAGTTTTAACTGTTTGCGCAGCTGAAAGAGGACTTTTAGGTCTGGATTGGAATCCAGTTTGACTTTCGATGGAGCGTATTTGTCTGGGTCAGTCAGATACAGTATCATCGAGTTAATTGCCGGATCATTCAACTTCTGAAGTTGGATGATGTCTGGGTCAGTTGAAATTGACTTTTCATATTTTAAAAGAACTTGGCGAAGTTTGTCTCTTTCTTCATCAGATGTCAGAGTGTCGGCTTGAGCGACCACCTGTTCAATCTGTGATGAGACTGATGAGGGTTCTTGCTCCATGGGGAGCTCCAACGAATCCTTTTCTGAGTCGTCGGACCTGTCTATGGGCAAGGCACCATAGGTTTGAGGTCCTTGGTCGACATCATTGGTTGAGAAAAGAGCGATGGCCTGTGATGGTTTCGTGAAACATACTGGCCCAGCTTCTTGACTCGGTACCAGGTTATCTGGGAGTCCTCCCAGAACTGGGATGCCTAGTTCAAAATCATGAAGGTCAGGTTCTGAGTTTTCAGTTTGCGATGACTCATCATCGTTTGTGTGTGAGTTTATCCCCCCTTCGTCCGATGAGGGGTTGTTGGAGGCAGCAACAGCAATGTCTTGGTGTGTTTCACCGACATCTGTAATGTTGTCATTCGCGCCTTCAGATTTAGTAGCGATCAGATCACTACATTGTGCTCCTGGTTTGGTTCCCATTTCAGCGTGTATCAAAGTGTCTAAAAACCTTTGCATTTCCTCTGTCTCTTCCGAGCTCAGAGGTTTAGGGCCTTGTTCCTGGAACTTTTGTGATTTTTTCGCCTCGGGACGTTTCGTCCGAGGTGGGAGGCGGCTAGGTACGTCTTTTGGGGGTTCCTCTTCGGATTTCCCATGATAATATGGGTCCTCTTGGATCCCATATTCTTGCGTCCTGCGCATGTCCCATGTACGATAATCACGTTCATCCTCTGAAAGAGGAGCCTTTTTGTCCCAGCGTGCACCTTCATTATGCGGTTTGTTAGTCTGAAAATACTGCCTTTTCTCGCCTGTTTTAGGAGGAGGTGGCGTCGCACGCCTTCCTTCCATTTCTAGGGAGTGGGGTTTAACCTTTACACCAGGAAACACCTCTATGGGCGTCTTAGCATGAGAACGTACCTCAAACACATTCACTGCACACTGTTTAATCTCATTTATGGATTTTTCTCTGAAATTTGCCATAATTTGTACTGACATGCGTATGTCAGTGTGGAGATTTTTGCTGAAAACAAATTTAAAATTTTCTTCTTCCTCCATTCCGGTTTCATTTCTGTAACCAAAATAAGCTTGGAAGATTCTTTTGTAATAAACTCTTGGATGTTCATTTTTTCCCTGCTTGACCTTGTCAGCGGCTGGGAAACCAGCAGGTCCTGTGCAGGGGTCGTACTCTTTGATCATAGCTTCACACAGAAGTTTGTAATCCTTTCTCGTTGCATCTGGTAGACGCTCGATGAAGGTAAACACCTCTCTGTCTGAAGTGAGCCGTATCAGACTGATCTTATCTTCTACCGTAGCATTAGGATAAGATCTCAATCTGAACTCCAGATCTTTGAGATACGCTTTTGTTTCACTTGAACCCATCGGTCCAGGAACGAAACATTGTACATATTTTGAGATTTTTTGCAAGTCATCCATTGATGAAGAAGATATCAATGGTCTCACATGCGTGATCGGTTGTGGGGGTGTTACTCTGCCCGTTTGTGTAGGTGTTAGGATGGGTCTGAAAACACCGGGTGAGTAAAGAGGTCGTGGAGGTTTTGGTGTATTACCCCGACTCTGTTCAGGGTCTGGTTTGGATTCCAGGTCACCTTGTCCCACATTCTGACCTTTTTCTGTTGCTGCTATTAGTTTCGCCTCACATTTTTTTAAAATGTTCCTGGGATGTATAATAGTCATCTTTTAAACGCATATATAGCTCTTGTGCAATTTGTTTATCTATTCTGAGTTCTTCCAGCTTTTTGTTAAGCACATCTATTTTGCTATTCAGCGAATCAATTTCTGCATTTGCATTTTGCTGTGATTGAAACATCTGTTCAGAATGTTTTCTTGTGAGGATTTCGTGTTCACTTTTAAATTGAAGGAAGTGTTCTTCAATTCTCTGAACCACCTCTTTTTCACTGTTTAACCTTATTGCAAGGTAATCAGCTTTGTCAACAACCGTATAGAATGATTCTTTCAGCAAAATTGCAATTTTAGCCAGCTTTTCATAGTTTGGCATTGTAATTTCTGTAGAGGTCACACTTTCTGCAACCTCCTTCAGATTGTCCACTAACTCTTTTGGGTTCATGCGCTCTGCCTGTTTATCATATGGATGTAAGGAATCTGTCAGAAGCTTCAACGCGTTCTTTAAACAGTCCCTTATCCCATAAGCATCAAAATCTTTCCCTAACACACCTGTCATGTTTTTCACTGTGTAGCAATTTATCTGTTTAAAAACAGTTGCAAGCTTCAGATATTTTACAGGTAAATATTTGTATTCGAGTCAATGAGTTTTCACACTATTTTAGCTTTTTGGGTTTACACAGAAGTACTGTTATAAGTCAACTTATTCAAATGTGGGTACCTTTCTCAGGTTTTACCCCAATTCATGAATATTTAAGTAAATGCTCTTCTGGCAGTGTTACTTTTATGTGCTTATTTTTCAACAGATATCAGTTACCAAACGCTTTTTAGTGTATTTTACTCTAAAGCACTGAATTTTTTATAAACCGGCAATTTTTTCTTTAGTCTCACAGCAACATTAGTTTAAAACGTTTTTTAAACCGTTCTGTTCCAGAAATTTGCTATTTTAACAGTTACTCATAGAACTAAGTGGTGAAAAGAAAAAGAACAGTTGATGATGTATCAGGATTAATCAGTCCTTCCTCAGAAAAACTGTTATTCCTGTTGTCCTCCTGTCAGTGACTTCTATTTAAAATTAAATAGGAAGATTTATTTTTAGGTGGCAACTTAAACAGAAAAGTTTATTTTTCCTGATAAGTTTACTCTTATTTAGTGATTTTGTAATTAAACGTGTATTATCTCTCCAGCAAATGAGTAAACTGTTCAACTCTGTGAATATTTGAACCGTATCTTTTAAAAAGTTTCTAATTTTATTTTGTACCTTTTTTAAGGAATTATCAGTGAATAAAATCTTTTTGGTAAATGCTTCTTTGCATAAGTACCTCTTACTTTTTAAAATGCAAGATAACAGTGTTTATTCAGTTTTGAAGAAGTTTTTTAACTCAAAAATGCCTTACAGGAATAAAAAGAACGTTTAATTTCACTCTTTACCTAAAACTGAAGTGAAACTGCGATCTAAGTTTCTCCAGGAGGGGGTAGTGTTTAGCTTTTTACCAGCAGGAGTCTATGACGACTTCCTGTGACGTTCGGTTGACATCCTGTTGTTAGCCGCTTAGCTTAAAGTTAGCTTCGGCTAAACTCGGTTAAAATCAACATTTCTGAACGAATTTAAGCGTAAATGTGGCGTAATTTCAACAAGCACGACTTCTTAGCATGAACATGAGTTTTTGGGACAATATTGCAGCTTTATTTAGTGATTTTAAGCATAGTGAAGGCTCCGGTTGTTAGCTTTAAATTAGCATCGCTAGCGTTGTT